CAACTGGTGCACAAGTTTTAATTGCGCAAAAGCTCTCCCGGCCACCGCCGAGACCTGGGGTTCCAGGCTCAGCGGCGAGTCCAGGATCACTCCCAAGCTGCAAACCTGCGTCTTCAGGGGGAGTGTAACCCCATCCAGCACAGGCTGTAACCCTATACCCTGTTCGGCCTTACGACTGACCAGTAGGACCTCTGTCTTGTCTGGATTCAATTTCAATTTGTTAGCTCTCATCCAGTCCGACACAGCAGCTAAACACCGATTCAAGGTCTGGACAGCCTCCTTGGTGACAGGTGGAAAGGAGTGACAGATCTGGACATCATCCGCATAGAGATAACACCGCAGTCCGAAACTCCAAATGATCTCCCCCAGCGGCTTCATGTAGATGTTAAACAACATTGGGGACAGGATAGATCCCTGAGGGACTCCACACGACAATGGTTGTGGAGCCGAACAGGTGTCACCCAGTAACACCTTCTGGGACCGTCCCTCAAGAAATGACCGGAGCCACTGCAGAGCAGTACCCCCAAGTCCCATCTCCATGAGTCGTCCCAGAAGGATACCGTGATCGACGGTATCGAAGGCCGCTGAGAGGTCCAGCAGAACTAACAGGGACACACTCCCCCTGTCTAGCTCCCGGCATAGATCATCTACCAAGACGACCAAGGCTGTTTCAGTACCATGTCCCGGCCTAAAGCCAGACTGTGCTGGATCAAGATAATCAGTGTCTACCAGAAATCCCTGGAGTTGCGAAGCCACCACACGTTCCATGACTTTGCCCAAGTAGGGGAGATTGGAAACTGGCCGATAGTTGTCGAATTGAGTGGGGTCCAGTGATGGTTTTTTCAACAGCGGTTTGATAATAGCTTGTTTTAAGCTCGCTGGAATCTTGCCCTCCTGTAAGGAGGCATTAACCACCACCTTCACCCACTCCGCCAAACCCCCTCTGGCTTCTTTTATCAGCCAGGATGGACAGGGGTCTAGGATGCATGTGGTGGGTCGCACCTCTCCAAGGATCCTGTCCACATCCTCAAGCTGAACCCATTGAAATGAATCCAACAAAACCTGACAAGCAGATGCTCTCGTCACATTCTCAGAGACTGCAGGTAAAGTGGTGTCGAAATCCGACCGAATCCGCCCAATTTTATCCGCGAAGAATCGAGCAAACGCTTCACAGCGAGCTCCAGAGCTGTCAGGGATCTCGCTTTTCGGCGGATTTAACAGACCCCTGACAACTCGAAAGAGCTCAGCTGGACGATTCTTCGCAGATGCAATATTGGCAGCGAAAGATGTTTTTTGTGCTGCCGCTATTGCCACATCGTAGGACCTTAGAAAGGCATTCAGATGTGTTTGGGCTGATTTAGTCGGATTCCTGCGCCACACGCGCTCTAGCCACCTTTTCTTTCGCTTCATTGCTGCCAGCTCCTCAGTAAACCAAGAGGCCGGATTAGCTCGGTTACTCGAAAGGGGGCGTTCCGGAGCGATTGTGTCGATTGCCCTAGTCATCTCGGTGTTCCAGTGAGAGACCAAGGCATCGACAGAGTCGCCAGCCAGGGAGGTGGGAAATTCCCCAAGAGCCGTCAGGAAACCACCAGGATCCATAAGTCTCCTGGGGCGGACCATTCTAATGGGTCCACCACCCCTGCGGAGGTTGGGAGGAGCAGTCAGTCTAAACCTAATCAGGTAGTGATCGGTCCATGACAAAGGAGCGGTGGTCAGCTCCTCCACTCCGACACTATCACCCCATCCCTGTGAAAAGACCAAATCCAGTGTGTGTCCGGCGGTATGGGTAGGACCAGATACTAGTTGGGACAGGCCCATGGTTGTCATGGCGGCCATAAAGTCCTGAGCTGCACCTGACAGAGCAGTCTCGGCATGGACATTGAAATCCCCCAGGACTATAAGTCGCTGGGAGCTCAACGCCATGTCCGAGACCACTCCTGCTAGCTCAGGTAGGGAGACTGTTGTGCAGCGGGGTGGTCGGTACACTAACAGAATCCCTATCCTGTCCCGGTCCCCCAGCCTGAAACCGGCACACTCAAATGTAGATGATTGTGGGATGGGGCACCTGATTAGGGGAATACAAACCTTATAGACCACTGCCACTCCTCCTCCCCGCCCTCCGGGCCTTGGCTGGTGCTGGACAGAGTAACCTGGCGGGCAAAGCTGGGAGAGATTCACACCTCCCCCCTCGTCCAGCCAGGTCTCTGTTATACATGCCAGGTCGGCCTGTTCCTCCTGAATTAGATCTCGAATAATGGAGGACTTTCCATTTACCGACCTGGCATTGAGCAGCACCACCCTTAGCCCAGAGGGACCACCATCCTGACATCTCAGCTGTATCTTGTCGGGAGGATTTTTTTTGGAATCGCCAATATATTCCTATTATTTTCAGGCCGAATCGATTGTGAGGATGTAATATGGGTAATCTTTGGGATTGCCAATGTTCTATTATAAATTTTGGGCCGGATTGGTTTTTGTCTTACATTCTTAAAACATTTTAGGTTCGCCGGATTATTACTGAGAATTTTGGATCGAATTGAGTAGTTTGTTCTCCCTTTCCCGTATCTTCCTCTACCTGTCACCACCTCTATAGCAGCCCCCACACCCATAGAACCATCCGTCCCAGGGGAATTCCGTCTCACTTCTTCACTTGCAATGTCAGATGTTGATGCATAATAATCATAACAGACATTGTTGTGGTTATAAATCTCTGAACCCCTAAGGTCCCCCCCATCCCTGCTTTCAATAAAGTGCATTTGAGCCGTATTAGCAGGGAGGGCTATCAGCATTACCAAAAGTGACAACAGCGATGACATCAGACGATTTTAGAATTCACAAAATTCACAGTGCTGTAGTAAAGTGCTACAGTGCTATAATACACACCTCACAGCAGCTTATTGGTTCTGGACCAGTTAGTGGCTTATGGTAACCCAGGCAGACTAAAGTGCAGGATTGACGTGCTAGAGTTACAGTGCTGAATGGCTTTCTATACCCCGATTCTAATGACCCATTTAGTCTCAGTGCTGGATTAAAGTGCTCAATAATTCAGTAGCTCAAGGTCTGTGCCCCAAAAAGGTCCCAATATCATTCAACTAGAATAGGTCAATCAAAACAAGGGCCCCGCTTCTAGGGCCCGTGGACAACAAGCCGGCACCCCTTGGCCAGGCCCGTAGTTCTTCTTGGCCATCCAGAGAATCTGATGGAAGTCAGAGGGAGTTGGTCTATATATTGTGGGCAGTGGTTCCAAAAGGCAGGTGTTATAGCACTTCCAGCCAGAGAGGGCGCTGTTGCAAAACAGACATTTTATTGCTATGAGTTCAAGATGGTCTCCTGATGGGTAGGTCTTCCGGTCGGTGCTTGATTCCGTTCCATGCAGTCATGCCGACCACATGACCTTGGAGGTGTCTATGGACAACGCCAGCTCTTCGGCTTAAAAATGGACATGAGCATCAACCCCCAGAGTCGGGCATGACTGGACTTAATGTCAGGTGATAACCTTTACCTTTACTACCCGCTGTTACGAATTGTGGGAGTTAAAGTCCAAAACATCTGGAGGGCCAAAGTTTGCTCATGCCTGCTTTATTCTAACTAATGAGTAGAGCAGGGGTCCTCAAACTTTTTAAACAGAGGGCCAGGTCACAGTCCCTCAAACTGTTGGAGGGCCAGATTATAATTTGAAAAAAAACCATGAATGAATTCCTATGCACAATGTACATATCTTATTTGTAGTGCAAAAAACACTTTAAAACAATACAATAATTAAAATGAAGAACAATTTTAACAAAGATAAACTTATTAGTATTTCAATGGGAAGTGTGGCCCAGCTTTTTGGCTGATGAAATAGGATTGTTATTGTTGTTTGCTTTCAAGTCGTTTCAGACTTAAGTTGACCCTGAGCGAGGGCCAGGTAAATGGCCTTGGAGAGCCGTATCCAGCCCCTGTGCCTTAGTTTGAGGACCTCTGCGGTAGAGAATATCCTTAAGGCAGGGGTCCTCAAACTAAGGCCCAAGGGCCAAATACGGCCCTCCAAGGTCATTTACCCAGCCCTTGCTCAGGATCAACTTAAGTCTGAAATGACTTGAAAGCACGCAACAACAACAATCCTATCTCATCAGGTTAAACCCCTGTGCTGGCAGGACTGAAGACTGACAGGTCGCAGGTTTGAATCCGGGGAGAGGCGGTTGAGATCCCTCTATCAACTCCAGCTCCTCATGCGGGGACATGAGAGAAGGCTCCCACAAGGATGATAAAAACATCAAATCATCCGGGCGTCCCCTGGGCAACGTCCTTGCAGATGGCCAATTCTCTCACACCAGAAGCGACTTGCAGTTTCTCAAGTCACTCCTGACATGACAAAAAAATCAGCCTAAAGCAGGCCCACACTTCCCATTGAAATAGTAATAAGTTTATATTTGTTATAATTGTTCATTTTAATTATTGTATTGTTTTTATGTCCAGTGTGCATAGGAATTCATCCATGTTTTTTCAAATTATAATCTGGCCCTCCAACAGTTTGAGGGACTGTGATCTGGCCCTCTTTTTAAAAAGTTTGAAGACTTTAACTTTTAGGGCTCAGTGCCATGGATTGTGGGAGTTGTAGTCCTGCAAGAACTTCAAGGTTCCTTGCCAAATCGGAGATGCCATGATCTTACAGCAGGCCTGGGCAAAGTTGGGCCCTCCAGGTGTTTTGGACTTCGACTCCCACCATTCCTGACAGCCTCAGGCCCTTTCCTTTTGCCCCTCAGCCGCTTAAGCTGCTGAGGGCCCACCTGGACGGCCCAACTTTGCACAGGCCTGCCTGACAGTATTGAGCAAAGCCAGCTTCCCAGCTGAGAGGCCTCTCCACACGACACGAGGGAGCCAAGCCCCGCCCAACTCCTGGCTGATTCGATCGCCCGCCTCCAAGGCTGAGCGGATTCCGGAAATGACGTCACGAGGCGGAAGCTGCGAGCCGGGAGGGAGAGGCCGCTTCGGAGGAGACATTTCCCCGTCCGGTAGGCACCAGTGGAGGATGTGGAGGGAAGGGGCGAGGCTGGGTGAAGCGAAATCAACGGTATCTTCTGGTAGAGGAGACTTTTCTCTCTCTCTCCGACGCTTCGTCTTGCCTCTTCCTGGCCTTGCCACTGTTATAAAGAGCCACCAAGCTGTAATTCCCAGGTATTCAGCCAAGCTTGGCCTGGAGGTATCTGCATTGTGGAATGAGTGTAGTTTGACACCACTTGGGCTCAGTGCCTTGGGGTCGTGGGGGTTATAGTTTGGTGAGGCGCCATCCCTCTTTAGCAGAGAAGGTTCCAGACCCTGTGAAACTACAACTCCCACGATCCCTTCGCATTGAGCCGTGGCAGCATTAATTCTGCGGTGGAGATGCAACCGAAGAGCCCTGTCACGCCGCAGTATTATATGCCATTCTGTTTTAACTGCCATGGCAACAAAGTGAGGAGGAGGCTCATTGAGGCATCTCAGCCATATTTATTTGTTTATTTACAGCAGGGGTCCTCAAACCTTTTAAACAGAGGGCCAAGTCACAATCCTTCAAACTTGGAGGGCTAGATTATGATTTGAAAAAAAAATGAATGAATTGCTATGCACACTGCACATATCTTATTTGTAAGGGAAAAACATTTAAAAACAATACAATAATTAAAATGAAGAACAATTTTAATAAAGATAGACTTATTAGTGTTTCAGTGGGAAGTGTGGGCCTGCTTTTGACTGATGACTGATGAACATGGCGTCCCCTTTCATAGCAAGGACTCATACCTGCCACCACGTATTTTTTTATAGAACCCCACTAGCAAAGCTTTAGTAATAGGATGCCAGGCTCAGGTTCATAAATGAGCAAAAGTAACAGAAGCTGATTCAAAAACCCATCTTACAGTTGCTACCAGCTCTGCTGAGTTAACAGTGCTGGCAGTCAGCAATGAGACATGCTGCTTGTAGTGCTGAGATAGGTCGGCAGGATTACTGTTGTTATTTATTATTTATTATTTACTAGGCATCCCCTGCCACCCGTTGCTGTGGCCACATGGGGGTTCTGTGTGAGAGGTTTGGCCCAATTCTATTGTTGGTGGGGTTCTATCGTTGTAGGTGAACTACAAATCCCAGCAACTACAACTCCCAAATGTCAAGATTCTATTTCCCCAAACTCCACCAGTGTTCACATTTGGGCATATTGAGTATTCGTGTAGAGTTTGGTCCAGATCCATCATTGTTTGAGTCCACAGTGATCTCTGGATGTAGGTGAACTACAACTCCAAAAACCAAAGGACACTGCCCACCAAACCCTTCCAGTATTTTCTGTTGGTCATGGGAGAATTGTGTGCCAAGTTTGGTTCAATTCCATCATTGGTGGGGTTCAGAATGCTCTTTGATTGTAGGTGAACTATAAATCCCAGCAACTACAACTCCCAAATGACAAAATCATTTTTTTTTGAGTGAAGGACATACATTGGGTTGTTAGGTGTCTTGTGTCCAAATTTGATGTCAATTCGTCCAGTGGTTTTTGAGTTCTGTTAATCCCACAAATGAACATTACATTTTTATTTATATAGATTTAAAATGCTGGGACACAAATTCACATGCAATACATAAACATTAAAAAAAATATCAAAATATTAAAATACTTCATTTAAACCGTCCTAGTCATCCGCGTCAAATCTAATTGGCCTGGTCATTTTTCCTATTGCTGCTTTATTGCCTGTTGTTGAGTGCCGCTTTATTGATCTGTTGTTGTTGTTGTGTGTGCTTTCAAGTCGTTTCAGACTTAGGTTGTCCCTGAGCGAGGGCCGGGTAAATGACCTTGGAGGGCCATATCCAACCCTTGGGCCTTAGTTTGAGGACCCCTGATTTACAGTATTTTTATTCTGACCTTATCACCCCGCAGGGGACTCAGAGCGGATTACAATCCACATATACATAGCAAACATTCAATGCCATTTAGACCTACATCATATATAGACAGACACAGAGGCAGTTAACATTTATTTATTATTATTTGTTTACTGTATTTGTATACCGCCTTTCTCAGCCCACAGGCGACTCAAGGCGGTTTACAGGGCAAAATTCAGTGTCCACAATACCAGAAATAGAATTAAAAACATTAACATATAATAAAAACCATAAGAAAATCAATAAAACATACATCCATAGTGTCTCCTTGTTAAAAACATTGTCCGGTCCCATCGTTTAGTCATTCCGTTTTCCTATGTCAGTTACTCTGCATTTGCAAACACTTGCTCAAAAAGCCAAATCTTGGACTTTTTTCTTGAATGTTAAAAGGGAGGGGGCCGATCTGATTTCCCTAGGGTGGACATTCCATAGCCAAGGGGCCACCATCGAGAAGACCCTGCCTCTCATCCCCACCAAACATACTTGTGATGAAGGCGGTAACGAGAGCAGGGTCTCCCCAGACTATTTTGAGGTCCTAGATGGTTAATTCCAGCTTTTCCAGCTTCATGGGGGTATGCTTGATCACAGCACAGGGGGAACTGCTGCTTCACCGTCCACTTGTGACACCGAGTCCTTTGATGGAGTACTTTCTCATTCTTCTGGATGCTGTTGGAAGGGTTTTTTTTTGGCATCATAAATGAGTTAAATTAGCCTTCCCACATAAAGCAGTACCTAAATTTCCTACTTGACAGATGCAACTCTCTTTCGGGCTGCATAGGTCAACAGCAAGCTGGACTACCAATAGTCGGGAGCTTACTCCGAACTGGGCTGGCTTTGAACTTATGACTTCTCAGTCAGTAGTGATTTAATGCAGCTGGCTACTAACTAGCTGCGCCACACCCACATAGAGCTCCTGGGCTTCACTAAACCTACAAATCTCAAGATTTCACAGAACGTTGTCATGGCAATGAAATTGGATGCAGAGCTTTCCAAACTCATATTGTGTGTCAGCTGCAGAGTGTGCCATACAAGCTTAAGGAGAAACATCTAAGTCTATATGAAATTGGCAATCAATTATATATAGTTTAAAATATAGAAGAAAAATTTTCATGAAATACGTTGCGTCTCCTCACATTTTGTTGTTCCAATTTCTGTTTGTGACCTTATCTCTTGTATGGGGTTGGTTTAACCTCCAGTTTGCTAGTAAAACTGAATTACCGTGTCGCAAAATAATAGTAGTAATAATAATAGTAATACTTTATTTCTAGACCACCGTTTCTCCCCGAAGGGACTCAGGGCAGTTTACACACAAAAAAGGCAAACATTCAATGCCTCAGATGAGTTATAAAAAAAGAATACATGGTAAAGCACAGTAATAACAGTGGACTTACAACGAAGAATTAATCATCGAAATAATAGATAAAACAGAGCAATCCAATAAGACATAATAAACTAAAACATAAGTAAATATTGCAACATATATCATAAAAGCAATTAAGATACAGTTACATTAAAAATGGCTAGTTCTGGTGTTCATTTAAGATGTATTGTGGCAGCCATATAATACAAGTGGGATTAGCCATCATTCCAATGGGTTAAAGTCTCCCAGTCCTCCTCTCCGTATGCTAAAGTGCATAGATGCATTTCCAGAAGCTTCTTAAAGGAGAGGAGGGTAGGGGCTGTTTTATTTCTTTCAGGAGGGAGTTCCAGAGACGGAGAGAAGGTCCCCTCTCTCATTCTCACCAACCGAGCTTGTGATGGGGGTCGGACTGAGAAGGAGGGCCTCCTCCATTGGCCGCAGTGCATGGGATGGTCTGTATAGGGAGATGCAATTTGACAAATAGATTGGGCCTGATGATTGTCTGAAAGGGTGCAACCAACATGAAATCTTTGGGAAGCTCTGTTTTACAAAGTGATGTGACAGGCCCCTATGATCACCAGTGCAGGATCTTAAGACCTCATATAGTTAGTCCCCAATGTCATTAAGCATCATGTGTTAAATACTGACCACAGTTATGCATGCTTTTTTCATTCAAATATACACATATTTGTTGTATGTCTCACTTACAGATCATTTTTTTCCTTTTGGGAAATTAAGGCAGAAATCCAAGATCAGCTCTATTCCCAGGTGAAAGGAAATGATAGTGCTTTGTCAGTTACACAGGATAAGGGATATTCAATCAAGCCAACTTGTTTCCATCCAGAATCTGGCTCTGGAGTGAAGAGTCTTTGGAGGCCAGTGTCACTGTGATGCCCATCTGCACTGTAAAACCGATATCGTTTGACACTACTGTAGCTGCCATGGCTAAGTCTTGCGGATTCTGGGAGTTGTAGTTTTACAAGTGCCTTGTCTGCCAAAGATTCACCAAATTACAACTTTCAGGCTTCCATAGTATTGAGCCATGGCTCTTGAAGTGTTGCCAAACTGCATTCCTTCTGTTGTGTAGATGCAGTCTGGGAGAGAAAGAGGAAGCTAACTATTTGGCTACATAGATAGTTTGGGATTATAATATATATATATATATATATATATATATATATATATATATATTATAATATATATATATATATATATTGCAAGCTGCTGCAGCAAATCAAAGGAAACATTTATTTATTTCATGTTTATTCCACTTTTCTCCTGATATAGGGACTCAAGGAGGCTAACAATAAATATATAACTAACCAAATCTTGGAAATTGTAACACCCTGCTGCTCTGCTAAGTGACCTTGGATTTTGCACGCATCCCATTCCTCCTGGTTGGAGCTGAGTGCCTGCAAAACTGAAGAATTTTCTGTCTTGTCTCCTGTCTGGACCCATGAACATTGGAAACTCATGGTTTTAAAAACCATCAGATAGTGAGTGTGAGGTTTGTAAACTTGTGTGTTTGTTTGTTTCTTAGTGTAGTTTCTCTGTGCATGTCTATGTGGGTTGTATTTCATTTGTGTGTTTGTCTTCTGATTTAGTTTTGTAGCTTGCTGTAGTATGTATGTGGTTGCATAGTTTTAGCACTTTTTGTATTATTCATTTTATACCATGTTATCACTTAAATAAAAATCACTTAAAATTGAAAATTGGGAGACTTGGGATCTGGGCCTGAGATCAGGTAACCCTAGCATCCAAAGAGCCACAAGTGGTCCTCCCTCATTTTAATGATAATGTCAGTGCAAGAGGAAGGGAGGCTGAGCTGGGTTGGGATTCTGCTGTAGAGCAGGCCTTCTTACATTTTTCCATTTCTGTCTGAGAATACGTAATCCTAGGTATTTCAAATAGGTATACAAATCAAACATTGAAAATAAATCAGCATTTGCAAGGCTTGCTAAACAGGCTGATTTTCCTTTTTGTAGTGTATAGCTGAAGCATTTTTACAGAGGTCACGTAAATGCTGCACATTGTTGCTAACAAATTTGGATAAATGCATGGTGTTCAGAAACCTTTTACAGTTGCCAATTTTTTGGGACCCCAACATTGAACTAAGGGGACTTTATTTAGGGTCGGGATCTGCAGTTTAAGAAGCAGTGATGTAGAGGAACTTTCAGCCCTTTCCTGCACAGCCAGGCCTGTAGCCGGGGGGACGGGGACGGGGGACACTGTTAGGGCTTCAACCCCCCCCCCCCCCCCCAAACTGGTTTACTCATGAATTTTAACTGGTTAACCAAATCCCCAAGCTTAGTCTACGAGATGCAAAAAATTAAGAGTCCCTCCAGAACTGCAAGCACTATCTCAAGCAAATATTATACTGTCATTACTTGCAGCAATAGCCGATGTAGCGAAGCAACCAAGTGGGGGGGGGGGGGTGTTGAATGCTCTCATTAAGGAGGCCAGACTTGGTGAGGTGGTTGACAGGGGCGGAGCTGCAGGCTATTGAAGGCTGCTCTGCCCCTGCTGTGCTCTTTGCTTCAGCGTGAGCTAGGAGGCAGGTTTCAACCCCCCCCCCCCCGTAATTTTCAAACCCCTCAGGTAATTTTCAAACCCCTCAGGAAGGCAGGGGGAGGTAAAAACCAGCAAAAATAGGGAAAATGATTTTCCTCCTTCAACTCCCCCCCCCTTAAAATGGACTATCCTTCTCTGTTTAGCACCCCCTTGTGGCCTCTGCCTGGTTAATGGAACAGTATCAATTGTAGGAAATGTGTAATATATGAGAACACCATCTTTCCTTGCCTCACAGTATCCAAATGTGAATTTATTTCCTATTTGCTACAGCACTAATCCAGGGATCCTATACATATCTACTGAGATTTAAGCCCAGTGGGATTTACTCCTTGGTAAATATGTGTAGCATTATACCCTAATGTTGCTAATTTCTGTCCACTTTCAGAACTTGGTAAATATTCTTCTCTATTTTCGTTTATTTTTGTTGGCTTTCTTGTTTTTCTGTTGTTCCCCAAAACCCCAGTCGTGTTTGCTGGGGATTTGGGGAGTCATCCTTTTAAAAACTGGCTTTGCATAAATCTCTTGTCCCTCCTAATTCCCTCATCATGGTTCTTTATTTACAGAGTTATATCTGTGAAAGAGAGTCAGTGTAGAGTAGTGCTCTGAGCATTGGATTATTCATTGTTTGGTCATTAAAGCTCACTAGATAACCTTGGGTGAGCCACACATTGTTAGCCCAAAAAATACTTAGTTAGGTTCACCCTAGAGTCACCGTAAGTTAGAAAAGACTTGAAAGCCCATAACAACAACATACATTTTCTAAACTAAGCTTTATTTCCTTTTCAGCGGCAAGGTACGCAGCTAGCTAGATTGAGCAATAGAACTGTTGACTCCTTGGATTATTTGATGTGAGACCCAACTGAGCCATGCTGACTGTGTCTTGTTCTGATTGTAGCTTTGCCAGAAAGCAGTATGGCAACTCCAAACTCCACATCGTTACAAGATTTGATTCGGGAAGACTTCTTGACTTGCAAAATCTGCTATGACCTGTATGTGGTGCCCAAGATCCTGCCCTGCCTGCATAGCTATTGCCTTGGGTGCCTTGATCCCCTGGTGGAGAATGGGATTGTGCAGTGTCCTGAGTGCCGCCTGCAGATAGATGTCCCAGGAGGTGCTGCAAGCCTGAAGACCAACTTCTTCATCAATGGTCTCTTGGAGCTCTTTCAGATGAAATGCAACAAGGACCTCAAGTGCACAATCTGCTCAAATGTTCAGAAAGTAATGGCTGCCACCTCCCGCTGCTTGGATTGCAAGGATTTTTTGTGCCAGATGTGTTCCCAGGGTCATTGCTGCTCCCGCCTAACTTTGCACCATAAGGTGGTGAACCTGGAAGAATTCCTCGCTGGGAATTATGACAGTGAGGTGAGATTCTTACAAGAGTTGTACTGCCAGAGCCACCCGCAGGAGGCACTCCACTTCTTCTGTGACACCTGCAGCGTTCCCATCTGCCGGGATTGTCGCATGCTGGACCATTTCCAGCACAAAGCAGTTTCCATGGCCAGTGCTGTGCAGCGAGAACGGCCCTCAGTGGAGGAGCTGATTAGGAACCTGCAGGAAACCATTACTTCCATCTCTCAGCAAGAAAAGGCTTTGGAGGAAGCGATGCACAAACTGAAGGCAGAAGGGGAATGCATCAAAGATCAAATATGCAGATACGTGGAAGATATCACTACTTATATCTTTGCCCAGAAGGAATCTGCTTTGGCAAAACTGAACGGCTTTCTAACTAGACAGATGGAACAGTTTTGTCTTTCACAGAAGGAGTTGCAACTCCAGAAGGACAAAGCAACGAGTACTCAGGAGTTTTCTCAGCGAATTCTCTGTGTTGGAAAGGACTATGAGATACTCTATTTGGAAGGGTTGATCAGGAGTAGGGTTGAGGAGCTTCAGGCCTACAGACCGCAACAACTCCAGAGCCAGACCCCGGAACTGTCAATTGCTTGGGATGAGCCCCAGCAACTTTATAAAGCCCCTCTTTTTAGTTTTGTGTTTCCTGGGGAACCATCCAGGGAAGATGAACCACATTTGGAGCCAGGCAATGAGTCATTCACTTCTCTTGGTGATGAGAGTGGGGAGATTACAGCATCCCTTTCAGATTCTGATGAAAATTCCTCAAGTGTGTCTGATTCCTCCACAGAAAGCTCCTCCTCTTACACTGATGGTCAATCAAAGGCAGAGTATAATTATAGCTTTGAAGGGGATCCATCCTACACCAAAGAAAAGCCTAACATTACAGGTATTGCTGTTGTGCCACACACTGGCCAAATTCTCCTTTTGGATCAGGCAAATGATGAGATCAAGCAGTATAGCTCTTATGGTCAGTTCCAAGGAGTGATTCCTTTGCCCTCTTCTAATTCTGCTTTCTGTGGCATCTCTGTATGTGGTGAGAGCCTGGCCTGTTCCTCAGAGTCTCATCTTTTTTTCCTCACGCTTGATGGCCTTTTCCTACGTAGATTGCAGATGAGAGGCTCCGAATCCTCCTATGCCTTGGCCTCCTACCAGGACTCTTATGTGGCTGTTAGTGAGGGAACTCTCTGTTCCATTTCTTTGTACAGCCCATCTGGCTGGTGTGTTGGCAGAGTTCAGCCAAACAATTATCACGGGGGGAAGTTTCTGTTCATTGCTGTAAATAGTTGGGAGGAATTTGTTGTCTCAGACTTTATCAAAAAGCAGATTGTGATCATGCAGAAATCTGGCTTGGTTCTGAATGTTCTGAAACCCTCGACTTCGCTGCTGACCAAGCCATTCAGTGTTTGTGTTGATGAAGACCGGGACATTTTTGTCGTCGATCAGTTCAAGGTCATACAGTTCTCTCCGGGTGATGAGACTGGGAAAGTGGTGGTGAATGATCACAGTATGGTACAAAGACCTAGAGTCCTGGTCATCAGTAATGACAACCTCATTTTAGTGAGGGAAGATGGAATTACTGATGTCTATTACCTATAGGTTGTTATCAGAAAGTGAATTAAGTGCCGGAACAAGTGCCGGAACACACTTAACCCTCTTGATGACAAAATACATTTGGAAGGGCCTATTCAGTGTGTTTGGTGGACACTGGAGTGGGCCTTAATTTTTTTCTAGTGTGAGAAGTCCCGTCCTGAATCAGAATAAGAGAAAATAGCTCCTACAATCAGATCAATTACAGACTACTGAAACCTTTTAATGTGCCTGATAATGTTAGTGCCTAACCTTAGAACAGAGGTGTCAAACCTGTGGTTCTCCAGGTGTTTGGGACTCCCAACTCCCAGAGCTCCTAGCCAGCTTGTCCAGTGGTCTGGAATTCTGGCAGCTGTAGTCCAAAACACCTGAAGGGCCACAAATTTGACACCACTGCCTTAGAATATTGGCAGCAAAGCAACATCTTCAGTGGACTTTCAACCGTGCATTCACAGAACATTTCTGATCTCATCTTTGTTTAGGCCTCTGGTGTCTGCTGCTTGAATTCTTATATTGAATTAAGAGCCCAGCCTCTTAAGGAGAAGTGGACTACATATTCTTTCAAATTTACATTCCCAGTTTCTCTGTCAGTGGTGGTGACGGCAGAAGCTGAAAATGTTGGGTAGGATAAAAACTGATCTTGTCTTTATTTTCCCCTACATGTGTAAATTCCAAGCATTGGAGTTGGTGTTGTGGAAATCTTAGTGCTGGCTTGGTGTTTACAGAAACTGCATACTTATGTTCCATGTCCTCTGCCTGCAGTGATGATCCAAGGAAAACTGGCTTACTAAAGCTGTTTGGTTTTAATGTGGGATGTGATGAAACTTCATGATGCCCAATGGCGGGGAAATGTGTGCTGACATTAGTTTTCCTTGAACTTCCTGCATTCTAGGCATTTTGGTTTTTTGAGATTAGGATGTACATTTTCACACATGCAAATCTCACCACAAGGAGTAATGCCTTTGCATAGCCTCTGAGTGTACATATAAATGCAACATTTCTGCAGTTCTATCAATTTCTGTTGCTTATATATTTCCAACTTAGCAGCTATTCTGATTTTGAAGTTGACTCTTCATAGGAATCTACTAAAGAGCTGAGACTACTTATGATGATTTCTGGACTTGGAAATAAGAGACTTAGAATCTTATTTGGGATGGTACACAAATATGTAAGAGGGGCTATATGTATGTCCAGCCAATGCTTACATTACAATCTTTTTGCAGCTCATCATGGTAGAAAACTAGCTGTTTGATGTGCCTAGGGTTTGCACTTGCATGCCTCAAAATATCTTTACAACTTTTCTTAAAAGACATGCATGAATTTGAAGAGCTGAATATTATTTTTATCAGCTGTACATTTTGTAAGGGACCTTTAGTTCTGTTTCTTCATCAGAATTCATACATTCCTCATCTCTCCTTTATTCCTTATTTGGGTTTTCTGCTTCTGTATTGTTCTTTTTTTCTCCCCTCTTTTTTCATTAAATGTCAGAATGTTTAATGAGTGCTGAAGGGTTCAATAATGGAGAAATAAATGCCCCCTGTGCGTCGCTTCATTGCACTCCATTTCTTATCAGTCTTAATATTTTTTACTAGTATGTGCATTTGATAATATAATAAATCGGAATTAATAGTTACTTTGTGGTACTTCTCCTCATCTCAAACTCTGCTTTACCAGCAATATTTTGTAAATATTTCTTTCTAATAGAATGAGGATGCCTTTCTAGTCAATACCTGGCATTGGTGTCAGTTCAGTTGTGTGTATTTGTTGTTTGGGTTTAAAAACAGATTTTATGGAAACAGACATAAGCCACAAAAAACACATCTGAAGTCCAGTACAATGAGTTCTCTCTAGTTGATGTTTCCTGACCAAATAGGAACTTTCCTGCTGGCATGATGAAATTATAATAGAGTATCTTTCAAAAAACAACATGAGAGGAAGGAGGAGAGAGAAACCAGCATTTTCGTTTGTATGATTGGTAGACTTATACCCAGATTCATAAAATTTAATGATCTTGGCTTTTCAGTTCATTTCTTCATTGGTATCATAGTCTAAACACCTGCTTAAACATCAAGAAATTGATAGGGTGTTTACGTTTTTCGAATTAGGTGCAATTTCTAATTATGCTGCCAAACATGATCAATTCTTTATGAGAAAGATGCTCATTTGCAGTATAGAAAATTAATACCATTCCCTACTCTGCTGATAAACAAATCAGAGTTTAGCTGTAATGTAGGAAATTTTTCCTTGTTAGTATGCCTCTAATTCATTTTGGCCACTTTGTCTGGCTAGACACAATCAATATTATGTATGAGTGCCCGCTTATGAACAGTAAAACAGACTTTGCTGTATTTTGGTTTAATCTTGTGTATAAATTTAGCCACTAGAGAGCAGTCTTTCTAGTGTGGGGAAAACGACATGTTTGACTGTTTGGGCTGATTTTATAAGATCAAGAATAGAAAAGTGTTTGGAGCCTTGATCCTCAAGGAAAGCATGTGAGTTTAATACAGTTTCATAATTCATGGGTATTTCCTGGTTTATGGGAGAACAGGTGAGCATTTTGGTAAGGAAGAGCCCTGAAAAGTGCAGCAATTTGGGTTGGAGATAAGATTGAGAAAAACCTGCCAATATATGCTTCACTAAAGTTTCCCAATGAAATCTTTATATTGTGGCACAAGAGTACAATAATTAATCAACCACATCTCCTAATCTGGGCCTTAAATCAGTTTGGCAAATAAGTAGCTGCTTCCCATGTTGGTAACAAATGAAGGAACAAAGAAAAACAATTTTTGGATTTTATTTCACACTCTTTGTACACACAAATGAATTAAAAGGAGATTTAAAAGGATGAGAAGACTTGTCAACAATCCTTTCCTTATAATTAGCATATGGAGGCTGCCAGAGATACTTGAAAGTGAAGCGTAGGTATAGGTAACCTGCCAGGTGCATTGTAGTGCAGCCGAGAATGAAGGGGATTGGGCAAGATTTACAGGTGCTAAGACTCCCTCTGAGTCTCTGCTAGAATAGGATTAGACATGCCTCATTCCCCAGCTTCCTCATGCTTTGTTTTTTTAAAAAGGTTGACAGAAACTGCATTAGAAACGGAAGTAACATATGGATGAATCTGTGCCTAGTCTTTAATCTACACAATTTGGAGTTTCTTTAATCAGAATTGTAGATTTCATTTTAGCAAATTCAGCCATGCCTATGTGTGCTTTCGTTTATTTTAAGAGAAAACAATAAACAGCATCAACCTCTGTTGTATGATCCTGGGAAATGATTCCCTGCTTCTCTTCTTAAATCTTTCAGTAACTCCTCCCCTATTATGTCAGCTGTGGGAAACACTGCTTCTTTCACTACTTATTTGCATCAAATCCAAGGCAGAAGCAAATAATTCTTATCTTGGTCACGAAACATAGAACCAGTCCTGGTGAAAGCCATGAATTGGCTCAAATGGAATACTAGCCAAAGGCACACTGGGATAGGAGACTCAAAAATCAGAATTAGGCACCCTTCTCACAGGATGAGTAACACCTATTGATTTTTGTTATAGATACAAAAAAAGAAGAGAAAGGGGGAGGGTCTATGCAATTTTTCGGACAGGATCCTGATGAGGAATTGATATCACCTAAACATGACTGGCATACTATTGGTGAATTATTGTGAAATACGTTGGGCATAGGCAAATTACTTTTGGTCATTGTTGAGTCCAGAATTTTCTGCCAACTGCACAAAAATCAAAAATCCCTCCTAAACTCAGCTGCAGCCCTGAAAACACAGCCATTTCTTAGTCAGTAGAGACTAACAGAGAAGCAGAGAGCTGTGTGCCTTGTTAGAAAAAGGGCATTTGCATCAATGGGACGTCCACCTGAAGGAACTGCAGAGCTCCTTGGGGGTGCCTGTGAACTGTGTATCCCGCTGCAGGAAAACAGCTGGATGCTTGTTTGTTGCCACCCATTTACCCTCTACTGACTAGGAAATTGATGTGGATCGGTGAACTCCAGCTGAAAAAAGGTGAGTGGGTGGGAGTTAATGGGAGTCTGTTGTAGCTATATCTCGTGATGCAGGACTGTGGCCCATATGTCTAAAATTGGCTATCCATCAGTGAGCACAGGATTTTGCGGCTTTTACCAATAAGTATTTTACAGATTCCAACTTCAAGCAATTTTTGGACATATGGTCACCAACTATTGTGAGTTTATTTCCCAGCTTTTGAGGTACATTTAATAATTAGAAATGGATGGACATGGTAAACATACTGGCCTCAATACTTTGGACCACAATGCTTATCTCTTACCCTTGGTTATGTTGTCTGTAGCTTTTAGGGGTAGAATCCTTAAGTATTTAACAAACTCGGCCATGCCTATATGTGTTTTTGTTTATTATAAAGGAAAACAGCAAACATAGTCTCCGTCTCTGATTGATGCAAAAATCCCTTTTCCCCATCTGCTCTCAAAGTAACCTTATTCTGGGTTTAAGGCAAGGCAGTTTCTAATATACTTAGCCAATCATGATTATTTATATCTCATAGCGGTCTCATGCATGGCGAATAGATTTTATATCCTGTAAGGTAGCCTTTCTCCTGTACAAATGCTTTCATTCATACACAGTGGTCATACACAGATTGATATTTCAACTGAACATGTATATGACTTCTCTTCAACTAAAATATGCTGTAGATTTGGTTTTATGCCATGTACCCAGGGGCTTTTAGATCAAGATGCCTCACTCTTCCCTACTGAGCCTCTTTTCAAATGCCAATAATTAATATAAATAGTGTGTGGTTTCCAGGTTGTATGACCATGTTTCTAGCAGCATTTCCTCCTGATGTTTCATCTGCATCTGTGGCTGGCATCTTCAGAGGATGCCAGCCACAGATCCAGGCAAAACATCAGGAGGAAATGCTGTTAGAACACAGCCACACAGTCCGGAAACTACACAACACCCCAGTGATTCCAGCCGCGAAAGCCTTTGACAATACAATGTGTTCTTTGCCTTCCACCTCAGTATTCCGGCTAGGAAGATCAAAACAAGAATTGATGGAAACATTCACTGTGTAACCTAGATAGCCATATCCCTGTCTATATGTTTAGGTTTTTACATATCCCTTAACCTACATATTCTCCAGAACAGAGCTGTGTGCATTCCATGGTTCTGAAAATAATACCACACAGACACAATAATAAGCATTGTGGATTAAAACTCACTCATAAAAGTGAGTTTCCAGATGTTTTGACTGCAATTGATAGAATGAGTAATCATAAATAAGGCTAAGTTGGATTTCACTGAAAAGAACGAGAAAGCTGCATCACACTCATTCCAAATGGAAAATCCTTAATTTGTTACCCCAGAAACCACTTTAAAAAAAACCTGATGATTATTTTTCTCTGTGTCACAATATCTCACAGCATTTGGTGCTGAGTTGTGATCCCTGACTAGAAAAGCCCAGTCTTCTTTCTTGGCAGCATCCCAGCTCTGTAGAAGAAGCCCTATGATGCGACCGGGTTCACCTCAGTACCATCTGTGCAAGTGTTAAGTAAAGTGCAAATGCCACTTCAGTGTCCAACTTCAATCCCACGTCAGCCACTGTCTGTTGGTTTGTGGATTAAATGAGATTTGCCATGCTGGAGGTAGGAGGCAGCCGCTGGTCAGCTGAGATGCGCCCAGATATCATGAAGACAGCATGGTTGTTGCCAGCATCCCAGCTCCGAGGTGCAACTGAACAGCAGGAAGTCCACATGAAATACAGGAGCACACTGAGCAGGAGGATTGCTCCAGAGGCTGTGAGCACAATGCCACTGACAAACATGCTAGCAAGGGGGCGCGGAGTTGTTGTGCTGGTGCCCATGCTGGTGGTGGACAACACTGTGAGCACTGTGCCACACACCAGCAGCACCAGGGCTGTTAGCAACAGCACAGCACAGTCTGAGGCCCCACCACTCTTCAGCAACTCAACCTGCTCTCGACTGCGAATGCAATTCATGTCCTGGATGGCAGAGCTCAGCAGCTGTTTCAGCAGTACCAGGAGAGCAAGCAGGCATAGCGTGGTGCCTACTGCCAGCCTCCACTCCCCAGAGCGGCTGCTAGTGCTGTACAGCAAGGCAATGCCACCTACCCCACAGGCCAGGATCAGGACCACAGCGACACCATAGCAGATGGATGATTTCCGGGGCTCCTGGAACCACCACAGCTCCACGTGTTCTTCCAGGATATTCCTCTGGATTTGGTTGGCATTGGGAGGGGGTCTGGGTGCCCCCAGTAGCTCCAACTCAGGCATGGTGGACACTTGCTTGGCTCATACACAAAAGGGATAATACAAGCCTGTATTCTAGCTGCCAGTTGCGGCTACAATAAGCCAGGATGGCAGGGCATTTCCCAGAGAGTGAAGTCTGCAACCCTCACTTTGCCTCTGTCATGGCAAGCAATGCTAAAGTCCAAAGGGAGCAGCCCATCTGTTTACGTTGCTTATTGCATGTGATCTGGGTTCTATACAGAAGATGTCAGACTCATCTGTCCAAGGCAGAACGTAAAGCCTGTTTCTGCATCTTGTGGCATACACATTTCCAGCTTCACCATCTTCTAGATATTTATCTGGAAAATAAATAATATCCAAAAGTTATAAAATGACAATTGGAAAAGTGCTTTTTTTCTCTACAGAAGCTTTGCTCTCAAATGCAGAATGTAAGACTCATAAGAGCAGGTCAGTAAGAATGAAAATGGCACTCCCTACAGGGTCAGCTAATAGCGCTGCTAGTAAAACCTGCTTTGTGGTGGGTAGGTCTGTTTTACTCTATTGCCTTAGATAAATCAACAATCTTCCTTGTGGCAAACTTGCTTCTGTGCCAAGGCAAGTAAGATTATGCTTTCATGAGTAAAATATAATTTAAGATTAAATTATCCCACGCTCGGTATTTTTTGGTGATTTATACTTGTTCTAATGGAAAGCAGACATCTCCAACCAGATGTGTTGACCAACCAATGGATTGGGGAAGTTAGCATTATATCAGTCCTTGCTTTTGAGGGCAGACTTGGAAAACTTTCTTCTGTGGCAGAAGATTTCCTGTACTAAGATGCAAGTTTTGTTATATTTCTTTAGCTTGCTTTTTGTATTCATTTAAAATGTGTAGTCGATCATACTTGAGACGTGATACAAATGAGAAAAAATGGAACTAATGTTACCTAGAATATAAATAACTTTCTATTCAGTATTAAATCACTACTGAAAGAAATATACAGATTCCATCATATTTTGATAGGGGTCCTCAATATACAAACAATTCTCTATAATCTATTTTTGCTGCTTGAGACTTGCAAAAAAGGAGCTATATCCATAGAGAGAGGGCTAAGGTACTTAAGAAGAGGTAATTTTCGTATCAAGATTTAATCTTTGCCTGGAGGTTTCTGTTCTGTGAACTGCCTGGAAAGAAAGTTCAGATCTGTAGCATCATTTAAACATTATGCCAATTGCTGAGATATTTATTCATATAGGTAAAGGTAAAGGTTTCCCCTTGACATTAAGTCTAGTCATGTCTGACTCTGGGGGTTGGTGCTCATCTCCATTTCTAAGACGAAGAGCCAGCATTGCCCATAGACACTTCCAAGGTCATGTGACCAACATTACTGTATGGAGCGCCGTTACCTTCCCACCGGAGTGGTACCTATTGATCTACTCACATTTGCATGTTTTGAAACTGCTAGATTGGCAGAAGCTGGGGTTACCAGTGGGAGCTCACCATGCTCCCTGGATTTGAACCACCCACATTTCGGTCAGCAAGTTTAGCAGCTCAGCGGTTTAACCTGCTGTGCCACTGGAGGAGATACACACACACACACACACACACACACACACACACACATATATGCTTTTTAAGCCATCGTAGTTTTTAGAACAATTCACAATAGCCCTTAAAGCTAAAACTGCAGGCAAGAATGAGAAAATTCAAAAGCAAGATTTCAAAGCTCCAAAGTAGTCAAAAAGGAAAAGACACTATGAAATTTAAGTATTTTTGTGTACCCAACATCACTGTGAAACATCACATTAGCTTTCTCTCTCTTGACATGCTCTGGGTTTGTTGGACCACAACTCCCATCATTGTGGACATGAAAATGATGAAGATGATGAGAATTATAGTTCAGTAAAACTGGAGAGATCCAGTTTCACAGAGAAAAGAGACTGGTGAACTTTTCTTGCTCAAAAGTAAAGTTCTGCACTCTACAAAAAATAGCAGTGTCATGTCTTTTGCTTTTCAAGAAAGCTGTTAACCCAAATACTGCTTCACTTGCTTGACGCCAAGCAGGCAAATAAGATGATACAGATCATTAGAAAGCCAAATAAGATAGTTTACATCTAGCATTTTTGTATAAATAGCTTATCTCTACTCCACAGTTCAGCTCACTTATCAATTATGAAGTGATGTGACAGGCTAGGAAATTGTGTAGAGGGAAGAAAAAAAAGCAAACAGAAGTACAGAGTGTCTTCAATACAGTTATGATCTAAAACGTTTAGATTCTAGCACAGGCATGGGCAAACTTTGGCCTGCCAGGTGTTTTGGACTACAACTCCCACAATTCCTAACAACCTGCCAGCTGTTAGGAATTGTAGGAGTTGAAGTCCAAAACACGTGGAGGGCCGAAGTTTACCCATGCCTGTTCTAGCACATTAAGAAGACAGCTAGTAAAATGTACATAAGCAGGGCAGGATAATGAGCTAACAAAACAAAAATTAGGAATGGTTTGGGGGAAAATTAGATTCTAAACAATAATGGTTATACAGTAAAATAGAAGAATAGAAGAATAACATTAAAACGAGATGCACTTTAACAAAACATTTGCAAAGTGCAGAGAGAAAGGGAACAGTCATACTTTACAAGCAATTCGAGACTTGGGAATTTGATTAAATTCTATTAAGTAACCTGAAGCTAGGGAGAGAGAAACATTACTGTTCATTTGCATACCTCACAAGGCTCAAGAGCTACACTGGCCAGCTCTAGTAAAGCTATGTTTATATTCCTAAAACAAAGCCTCTTCTTTGTGGATTCTTACAGTGGATCCACAGTTTCCAAGGCACTCGTCAAAGGTCCCACTTTGAAATGACTTTCCACTCAAAGCCCATGAAGTGTCATCCTACTGTCAGCACCATGGTCCAGGTGACTCTGAAATCATGGAGGAATTTCAAGAACTTCCACTCACATGTGCTGCAATCTCGAATAATCCTTTGGCAAGCTTGGCCCTTATGCAGATGGGCCCTTTTCTTGAGCATCGAACTCCATGGTGCTAAGGCTCCTGGAACAGGTCATAAAAGCATCTCTTCACTTAGCAATGCCCTGGCTTCTAGTACTGGCTGGCAGCAAAGACAGCGAGAGAAGCAGATACCCCACACAATAATAAAGCCCCATTCATCGCGCCAGCCTCACATGGTCCCTCATCAGCATCTGCCTCTTGTCACCAACTGGCTCTCCAGCTTCTTGGACAATAGATGCTTGCGTCAAGGCTGCCTTAACCCTTCAGGCACAACCTTTGTCAAAAGAAAATAGAGACCTGGCTTTCTGATTTTCTTCCCACGCTGATTTACGAATATTGCTTCTCTGTTCTAGTGCTTAGGACATCTTCTTTTGCATTTTGATGCATATTCCATTCTACCTTCCATTGAAATGAGTGTAATACAGGGAAATTCATGCAAATTTTGATGGACATATTGCTTCTCTGAACTGCATTTTTGTCTCTGTGTGTGGACGTCCATTCTAACCTGAAGGAATTTCAGCCTGGTTGGCTTGACAGCCCAGTTCCGCCTTAAAAACAGCTTCCTGTCCTTTTGTCAAGATGTGGAAAATCAAGATATATGTTTCCTAAATGTGTTGTTTCATATAGAAGGAAATGAAGCAACAATCTGTTTTGACTCAGAGCTAAAATAAGTGTGTCTTTTGTATTATAGCAGGTATCTGATATCAGATTAAGTAATATAGAGAAAGGGGCTATTGCTGAGTATAGGCAGAAAATATGTATCATTATGGGTAACAAAAATCTGATTAACTTCAGCATTGCTAAAATCAACTACTGTCCAAGGCTGAAATTTTATTCACTTCTATTTGGGAGGCAATAAGATTTACTTTGGAATAAGCAAACATAGGATCTGGCGGGAAATCTCTTTAAAAATGGGAGTGAATCTATACTATGGAATAAATGCACCCACATTTATTATATGCCAGACACAGCATATTATTTGGGAACACAGAAATGCTGGACCACTCTAACAACCACCATGTTAGACAACTCAGAGAAGCCATTGAAATCCACAAGCGTGTGGACAATTTCAACAGAAAGGAGGAAACCATGAAAATGAACAAAATCTCGCTACCAGTATTTTTTTTTTAAAAAAACCCTCCAAAATAAAGTAAATAAAGAGCAACACTAAAAAACAGGGGAACTCCAGATAAGGAGCAATAATGGCCAGCTAACAATTCCCAACAAAGGATGCCTCAGGCAGGAAGCAGCCAGGTTTTGAAGCTGCAAGGCTATTCAGCCAATTGCAACATTCACACTTGCCTCCAGAGTTCTTTATCCCACTCTGGACATTCCAGAAATATATAGACCCCATTTTCCTAGTTTCCAAAAGACCTCACAACCTCTAAGGATGCCTGCCATAGATGTGGGTGAAAAGTGAGGAGAGAATGCTTCTGGAACATGGCCATAAAGCCCGGAAAACTCACAGCAAACCCAGTGATTACGGTCATGAAAACCTTTGACAACACAGTGTGACAACACTTGAACTGCTATGGCTAAATTTTATGGAATCTGGGTTTTGTAGTTTGGCGAGCACCTGCATGCTTTGGCAGAGAAGATGTTAAACTATAAATGCCACAATTCCATACATTTCGCCATGGCAGTTAGTGGTGTCAAATTGCATTAATTCTACAATGTAGATACAATCTAGTTTAAACTATTATTTGCTGCAGTATTTAAATGAATTTGAAGGATTCCCAGTGTAAGCTGGTAGCTAAATATTCATGTCCTGTCATAGCAGATCCACTTTCTCCTAACCTATTATTTGACTGCTAACCACCGAAGCCTTCCTTGTTTCAGCACAATCAGGTGGCCGAAGAGGGGAGGCATCTGATCCAGACACAGCCTGACAGTGTCAGCCCAAGTCCCCTTCTCCAGCAGGGACAGAGCATGAGCTCACCATTAAAACCATAAGGAGGTTGTTCAGGGCAAATTGCCAGCTGAGGTCACAATGGGTGGAGAAATCAAGTTTAAGTCACTGGTATGAGGTCCAAGAAGGGCTGAATCAATACACACACTCCCTCCCACTCAATATCCATCAAGCTGTGTGTAAAACATGAAGTCAGTACCCTGTGGAACCTAGTCCATGGCCAGTGGCATGCGATCCAAGTCCATGACCACATCCACATCAGTTACAAGTCAACAGCAAAAGAGCAGCTGTGTGCTCGAGGCAGTACTTGCCCGGGAGCGTGTGCTGCTCTTGGCACATGCAACAGCTCCAAACACTGCTTGCTGTGTTTTTGCTGGAGTGCCTGCAGCGAGGAAAGAGGACTACAGCCAGCTTGGTTGATCAGCTATTCACTTTTAACCCATATGGGAAAGAACTTCTGATGCTCCTTCTGTCCTCATCCTGCTTTATTCAGCAGTGCTACTACTAACAAAGACAACCGTCAAAGGCATTGAGAGGAGGCATCACTTATTGATCCTATTTTCACACATGATCTCATTATAAGTTTCATCACAGCTGGGGAAAGCTACATCTTCAGGCTACAACTTCCAGAATCCCTCAGCCACTAGCTACGGAGGTTGGACAATTTGGAGAGTTATAGGGTTCATCTACACTGTAGGATTAATGCAGTTTGACACTACAGTAGAGTCTCGCTTATCCAACCTTCATTTATCAAATGCTCTGGATTATCCAACACATAGGAGAAAGAAAGAACCCTTGTCCATTTTGGTGCTAAATTCATAAATACAGTAATTACTACATAATATTACCATGTATTGAACTGCTTTTTCTGTCTATTTGTTGTTAACCTACAATTAAAGAGCATTCTAAACTCTATTAACAATGGAATTGAACAAAACATGGCACACAGAACCTCCATGACTAAGAGAAAATACTGGAAGGGTTTGATGGGCATTGACCTTGAGTTTTGGAGTTGTAGTTCACCTACATCTAGAGAGTATTATTTGGACTCAAATAAGGATGGATCTGGACCAAACTTGGCACAAATACTCAATATACCCAAATATGAACACTGGTGGAGTTTGGGGAAAATAGACCTCGACATTCGGGAGTTGTAGTTGCTGGGATTTATAGTTCACTGACAATCAAAGAGCATTCTGAACCCAACCAACAATAGAATTGTGCCAAACTTCCAACACAGAACCCCCATGACCAACAGAAAATGCGTTTTCTGATGGTCTTTGGTGACCCCTCTGACACCCCCCCTTGCAATCCCCCCCCCCAGGGGTCCTGACTCCCAGGTTGAGAAACGCTGATCTAACAAGAAGTTTAGCTTAAATGAACGAGAAGCAGATAGAAATAAACATAGGCTAACAAGACATTAGTAACGAGTACAATGTGGTGGCGAAAGAAAGAAAGAAAAGAAAAGAGAAAATAAAGTTTTCAGTCCCTTAACCAGGAAGGAAGAAGGCAATGTACTGTGGAGATAAGCAGATAATATTTACTCAGAGGGATATGGACTTTACTCACTGGTAGCTGCCTCTCTATAGAAAAGCTTGTAATGACGCTCTTTCTTTTTCCCCAGGCTCTTGGATTTGCCTGGATGCTCATATCACATTCCTCTTCTCCTGGTGTTGACTGATGGGGCAATTTTCCAAATGTGGCCCGAGGATACCATTTAAAATTTGTCTTCTTCCCTCCCTGCTTGTGCCTGCCTGTCAGGCAACAGGTGTAATGCCCCACCTCCTTCACCTGTCTTAGACCAGGTGCTGCACCTGATAGGCTGGTTGCCTGTGCTGACCTTTGCCCAGGCAGGTACATTCTCTAGCAGGGAGAGGCTGGAGAGGCAAGCCGCTGTAGTCCTTGGAAACATTCCAGGCGGATGACTGTGTGCTGAGAGAAGCGGAAACAAGAGGGCCGGTGGAACAAGAGAGAGAGGATATACATTACAGGGTGAGTCAAGCAAATACAAGGCGAAGGCGATGCAAGTTAACCTGCACAAGAAAAACGCACTGCAAGACAATTGATGTCCTGGGCCTCTCCACGAACAGCAGTATCATATATCTGCCTTTTGCGACAAACCACAAAAGACAGAGCAGGCCAATGTTTTGGGTGCAGAATGCTGCCTGCTGCTATACAAGTTTGTGTACCATTTGGGAAATGGGTAGACATTCAGAATTTCCGGAAATAAGAGCTTTCCTTGAGGATGAAAGTAAAATACACTTGGCTGTCCATATCCACAGTTTCAGCATCCAAAGATTCAAGCATCCACAGCATGACAATGTATATACATATTGCACTAAGCAAACCTTGATTTCACTATTTTATATAAGAGTGACTATTTTACTGCACCGTTGTATATAATGGGACTTGAGCATCCACAGATTTTGGTATCCACAGTGGGTGTGTGTGACTTGAAGCCAAACCTCAGCACATACGAAAGGACCCACTGTATTGGCCTTTGGGAGAAAATGTAACTGAATAAAAATTCTTTATCTGTTGTTGTTGGAAGTAGAGAGTGTGGACAGGGTAGCATGTTGTTATTATTTGAAGAGAAATAGACATGGTTCCGTGGTTTGAGCATTAGGCTACAGTTCTGGAGACTAGGGTTCAAATACTTGCTTGGTCATGAAACCTTCTGGGTGACCTTGGGCAAGTCACACTCTCTCAGCCTCAGTAGAAGACAATGGCAAGCCTCTTCTGAACAAATCTTGCCAAGAAAGCTCTGTTTTGCCGTACAGTGTCATCTGTTGGAAATGGCTTGAAGGCACACAACAATTTCCTTCCTTCCTTTCTTCCTTAGGCGATCCTTTGTAGTCCAAAGATGATGATCCTCCAAGTGTAGTGTCTTGGTAGTGGATCCACATGTGACTGTGGAGCCCTTTTCTTGATCCATATGTTCTTCCATGGTGAAGACATCAGTTTCCAGGTGGGAAGCTATTTCTCTTGGCACGTTTCTCCCTTTCGCCCTCCATTTGAACCTCTTCAAATTCCACAGCACTGCTGGTCACAGCTGACCTCCAGTTAGAGTACTCAAAGGTCAGGGCTTCCCAGTTCTCGGTGTCTATGTCACAATTTTTAAGGTTAGCTTTAAGGCCATCTTTAAATCTCTTTTCCTGTTCACCAACATTGCGTTTTCCACTCTTGAGTTGGGGGTATAGTAGCTTTAGTTCAACTCATGGCCATTGCAGCCTTCCCAATACAGTACAAGATAGTCTTTGAATCATATGATAGTCAACCTCCATCATTTAGTGAGGTCATGTCCCTGTTATCGTAAGAATGATGTAAAAGGTGGTTGTACTTCAAAAGATGTAACACTGTCCCTTGTTATGTTAGGACTGCAGTGTAAATGAATTGTAGGAAAAGGGAAGTAATTACCGTATATTCCGGCATATAAGACGACTGGGCGTATAAGACGACCCCCAACTTTTCCAGTTAAAATATAGAGTTAAGACGACTCCCATGCATAAGACTACACCCGCATATAAGACGACCCCTAACTTTTGAGAAGATTTTCTTGGGTTAAAAAGTAGTCTTATACGCCAGAATATACTGTATAAGGAATTTTTTTTGTGTCCGGAGCAACTTGAGAAACTGCAAGTTGCTCCTGGTGTGAGAGAATTGACTGTCTGCAAGGACGTTGCCCATGGGATGCGTGGATGTTTTGATGGTTTACCATCCTTGTGGGAGGTTTATCTCATGCCCCCGCATGGGGAGCTGGAGTTGACAGAGGGAGCTAATCCACACTCTCCCCAAATTTGAACCTGCACCCTGTCCTGCCGACACAAGGGTTTAACCCACTGCGCCACCGGGGAATAATAGGTAGCTAATTACTTCAAAGTTCTGTATATAGGTATCTCTGTGAGAGCAGGCAAGTATCACTGACATTGAGTATTCTTTCTGTCTTATAATTATGTAAGAACTATAGAGTAAACCATTTTCATATGTTTGTACTCCAGCAATCTATTCACCAGATCAGTCTGTTTTGTCCACATGTTCAATATACACAAAGAGAAAATATATGTATGAAGTGACACAGCTGGCCTTAAGTGCTAAAAAAGAGTGGCTGATGGTAGCAGTGAAAGAATGTCCTCCTTCAGGCTAAGATCTTACTTCAGTGAGTAGTTCCCTTCCTAGTTCACTTTGCCAGCACAAAGACCTTCTCCCAATGGCTCCCCAAATGTGTATCTGACCCCCTCCCATTTTTCAACTACTTTCTCTTCCTGGTAGTTGAATTATTTTATAATTCATTTGAATTTTATAATTCAAATGAATTATAAAATAAATAAGTAAATTCCAATAGGTAATGTGATTTCTCCTTTGTACCAAGCTATTGGTTTCCCCTTTGCATATCTTTATTTCTCTCTTTACCTGTTTTCACTGCAACAGTACACGTTAATTTTTTTTGAAATGTTATCAAACATATCCTCAGATAATTGAAAGGAAGGGGAATTATTTTATTTCCAGTGGGGTTTAGTGTAATTCCTGGAGGTGTGAATCATCTCTTCATTGTACTATTCCTAATTCAAGTGAATCCAGTATTCTTAGCTTTTCTCTTGATTGATCACAAGTATTCAGCTGTTCAAAATAGACTCCTCTTTCAGATTGTCATTCCTGATTTAAAGATATGTTTTAACAGGAAACAAGACTATGCTGACATTGCATTTGTAGTGATTTTAGCTAAAAGCAGACATCAAAAAGCAAATAGAGCATCCTCCAGGATGAAGAAGCAATGTGGATACACAGCCAAATGCTAACGTGTTTCAGATAGAAATCTGGTCTGCTGCCTTAAAACCCCTACATTAGGAGAAAGGCAGGATAAAAATAAAGTAAATAATGAATAAATGATAATCCAAGACATAATTCTGAGTATGGCTAAAAGATCTAGTCAAAGTTACCATTCTGCAGTTATCCTATTAATTATAATTGTGCAACTGCTTCAGACAAAACCTAAATTTCAATGTGAAATAGGCTGATTTGGACCAATTTGGATCAGGTCTGAGGTAGGTTGGATCAGCCTGCTTTTAATCTACAGTGCTGGTACTCCTGAAAGGAATTGACATGGTAAGGTGATGGAGATTTGGACTCTGCAGAGCGACACCTCCAATCTGGAGTACGACTTCCACCATCAATTTCCACTCACAACCTACAAGTGCAGGGAGTAAAAAAGTGAGATCACTGAGTTGTGCACATACACACACACACATGCCCTCTGTGGGACTGTGCCCCCCCCCCCATTTAACTGATAGCAATACACCATCCCTGCTAGGAGCCGCAGTGGCGCAATGGGTTAAACCCTTGTGCTGGCTGAACTGCTGACCTGAAGGTCGGCAGTTCGAATCTGTGAGACACAGTGAGCTCCCGTCTGTAAGCACCAGCTTCCCATGCGGAGACATGAGAGAAGCCTCCCACAGGATGGTAAAACATTAGGGTGTCCTCTGGGCAACGTCCTTGCAGACGACTAATTCTCTCACACCAGAAGCAACTTGCAGTTTCTCAAGTTTCTTGCCTGCCTCGCAGAGTAATATTTTGCTTTTGACAGTGGATTCTGGTCTTCAGCTGTGTTCTTTAGTACAGCTGTACTAAAGATAGGATTTTTAGATTTTTAAATCTCAATACAGATTTAGGATATGGGCTGCATAAAATTAGGTCTGAATTGGATTTTGATTGATATGAACTATGAACTGAATCAGTAGAGCTTTGTACAACCCTGCCACAAACATTCTTTAATTTTTCTAGAAACTGTGTCCTTCTGCAGCATATTTGTGAAATGGTTTTGTAGCTTTGAGGTGCTTGGCTCTGATCTGATCCTTACAAAAAGTAAGTCAACTTCTTTTGCAAATGGCAGTTTCTGAAGGAAGTGTGGCTGTGTGCCCACTCAGGCATGCATGACAAAGAAAAAACTTCTCACCTTGAAGCAGCATTTCATCATGGTGGAGCTAGACCATTAGGGAGGGTTTCATTAAAGCATCAGTCAGAAGATAATTCCCAACTACTTTGTAATTATCAACAAAGGATTTGAATCATATCCGTTTTCATTACAAGATGAGCTAGTAGTAAACTAGTGATCTAGGATTTATAGGCATGTACAGATCCCATCTGATGAGGGGAGGTTGAGCAGGGTTAGCTCTGATTAGAATTTGTATGGGAGATGAATATCAGGTGCCCTGGGCTATATATATTTTAGAGGAAGGAATTAACAAAATTGCATCTGAGTATTCCTTATTTAAGATAACCCTATGAACTTCATGGGCTAATCATAAATCAATAGGCAATGTGAAGGCACACACACACTTTACAGAGAGAGCCACAAATTGCTAATTCTGGATAGAATCATTTTTCTTAAGGCACATCTTTACTGCAGACATTTTATAATATATTTTTAGATTTTAAAATTTTACCGAACAACATCCATATTAGAATTATTATTATGGAGAGTGTAAAAATTAAAACTTAAAACTTGCCCAGGTGGCTAGGAGAATGAATGCATGATACCATGAACCTTAGTAAATGAGCTTGGCCATCAGGTCTGCAAATGACTTTCTGACTGATTCTTGGCTATTCTCTCTGGAGATGGGGCAATAAACCAGGACTATGTGTCTGTGAACACACCCAGGTGGATTACCTATTTGGATATTTATAGATTACTTTTCTTACATCTGATCATAATGTGATTGCAAGCTCTTCTATATTTTTGCTACAACATTTTTTCAATATATTCTAATTTAACCTGGA